AAGTCCAAGCAATGCTTGAACTTGTCTGTCGTAACTGGCTTGGTGAACATATCAGCGGCATTCTCATCAGTATGTACCTTCTGAAACAAAACCTCTCCAGATGCAACCAACTCTCTGATCTTGTGGAACCTTACATCAATATGTTTAGTTCTAGCACGATACACCTGATTCTTAGCCAAGTGAATAGCACTTTGATTATCACAAAGCAACTGAACTCCACCTTGTTGAACACCCAACTCCTTCACTAAACCAGTAAGCCATAAAGCTTCTTTTGCAGCTTCAGCCGCTGCCATGTATTCAGCTTCAGTTGTAGATAGTGCCACGACAGATTGAACAGTAGACTTCCAGCAAATAGGCCCTCCACCAAGAGTAAACACATACCCTGTCGTAGATCTTCTATTATCCAAGTCACCTGCATAATCTGAATCCACATATCCTACAACCAAAGGATTATCCCGCTGACTCCCAAAAACAATTCCATGTCCCACAGTACCCTTTAAGTACCGAAAGATCCACTTGACTGCATCCCAATGTTGCTTACCAGGTTTAGACATGTACTTACAAACTTGACTAACAGCATGAGCTAAATCAGGACGAGTACATACCATCGCATACATCAAGCAGCCAACAGCATTAGAATACGGAACCTTTGTCATATTTCAGCTTCCTTATCTGTCTTAGGGCACTGTTCTGATGAGAGCTTAAAGTGATTCGCCAATGGAGTGCTAACTGGTTTCGCGCTGCTCATCGCAAACCTTTCTAGCATTTTCTCAACATAACCCCGTTGAGATAGCCGCAGTTTCCTTGAGTCTCTGTCCCTGCAAATTTCCATTCCAAGAATTTTCTTTGCAGCACCTAAATCTTTCATATCAAATTCCTGACTCAATAAAGTTTTCAAACCGATAACATCATCCATGTTCTTCGCAGCAATCAACATATCATCAACATACAGTAATAGAAAAATAAAAGAACCATCATCAAGGCTCTTAACATAGACACAACAATCATACTCACATCGGTTGTAGCCAATCTTGATCATATAGGAGTCAAACCGTTTATACCACTGTCTCGGAGACTGTTTTAACCCGTACAAAGATTTCTTCAATCTGCAAACTAAATGCTCGTTTCCAGGTTGAGTGAAACCTTCAGGTTGCCGCATGTAGATCTGCTCCTCTAAATCACCATGCAAAAAAGCAGTTTTAACATCCATCTGCTCTAAATGCAAATCCCAACTAGCCACCAATGCAAGTACTGCTCGGATTGAAGTGTGCCTGACCACAGGAGAAAAGATTTCATCATAATCAACTCCTTTCTGCTGTGAAAAACCCTTCGCTACCAAACGAGCCTTGAACTTCTCCCCCTCTTTTTCTGTTACTGCTGGTTTCTTCTTATACACCCATTTGCAACCAATCGGCTTCTTACCCTCAGGAAGGGGAACTAACTCCCATGTGCGATTGTGATTCAAAGACTCCATCTCCTCAACCATGGCTGCCATCCACTTGTCATTTTCCTGACTAGTAACGGCATCATGAAAAGTAATTGGATCATCACTGCTAACAGTAAGTGCAAAAGATACCAAGTCTTCAAAACCCAATCTGTTCGGAGGCTTTATATTCGTCCGTCTCACCCTGTCTCTGGTGAGACTATAATCCTGCAAATCATCCGTAGTGGAACCACCAGAAGTCGGTTGAGAAGTTTCTGGTTTCTCAACTGGAAACTGCTCGAAATCTACCACTGTCGTGTCTTGCTTCTGCTGCAACATAGACTGTTCATCAAAAACGACATCTCTACTAATCACAACTTTCTTCGCAACTGGATCCCAGAACTTGAATCCTTTGACACCTTTCTTGTAACCCAGAAAAATGCACTCCTTCGATTTTGCATCAAGTTTGGATCTCTCATCAGCAGGTACATGCACATAAGCAGGACAACCAAAAATCCGTAAGTTATCAAAACTAACATCATGACCAGTCCATACCTCTTCTGCAACTTTCCCAGCCAGCGATGCCCTTGGCGATCTGTTGATAAGGTAACACGCCATGTTAACAGCCTCAGCCCAGAAGTGTTTGGGAAGCCCCGCATTGAACCGCAAACATCTGGCTCTTTCATTCAACGACCTGTTCATTCGTTCCGCAACACCATTCTGTTGTGGTGTCTTGCGCACTGTAAAATGCCTCTGAATCCCATGCTCCTTACAAAATTGTAGGAACTGTGAATCTGTGTACTCCGTACCATTGTCAGACCGCAAACACTTGATTTTTCGTCCTGTTTGGTTTTCTACCTCAGCTTTCCACAGCTTGAACTTCTCAAAACTTCAGATTTCTGTTTCAAAAAATACACCCAAACTTTCCGTGAAAAATCATCAATAAAAGTAACATAGTACCTAGATCCACCCAAAGACGATGTCGTGGAAGGCCCCCATACATCAGAATGCACATAATCAAGAATCCCTTGAGTTGTGTGCTTCGCAGTCTTGAAACGGACTTTAGTCTGTTTACCAAGAACACAATACTTGCAAAAATCGAGCTTACAGCTTTTGACACCATGCAACAAGTTTCTCTTGTGTAATTCTTCCATACCACGTTCACTAAGATGAGCAAGGCGCATATGCCACAATTTTGTCGTATCATCACAGGACTCAACAGAGTGAACTCCACCTGCAACGGTACTCCCTAACAATCTGTAGATATTCCCTGCAGTCATCTTGCCTTTCATCACAGTCAATGCTCCTTTAACAATCCGAATGGTTTCCCTATCCTCGTCAGCCTTAGGGATAAAACCATTCTTGTGTAAAGTGCCCAAGGAAATCAAATTCTTCTTCAAGTCTGGGATATGTCGAACACCACTCAACGTCCGAACGGAGCCATCGTGCATCTTAATTCTGACATCACCAATACCAACAATATTGCAACATCGATCATCACCCAAATAAACCGAACCAGAATTAACCGGCCTGTATGTCGAAAACCATTCCCTATTTGGCGTGATGTGATAAGAACATCCAGAATCAAGAATCCAAGCATCCGTCAATTGTGTCGTTGAAATAGAAAGCATATCACCCTCACTGCAATCAGAAGTATCATCCTCGACCACGTTCACAGACTTGGATGAGCCATCACGCTTCTCATCAGTCTGCTTTTTCAACTTCGGACAGTCTCGCTTCATATGTCCCGCCTCATTGCACTTGTAACAGTGAATCGTCTTCTTATCCCTGGATTTGGATCTGGAATTCCGCTTCCCGGACCCTGCCTTCTCTGGCTTCCGTCCACGATCTCGATTACCCTTGACATATAAGCTATCGGCTTGAGAGCTTTCCCCTGCATTCTGCTTCCACTGGTTGTGAGCCAACAAGGCTGCAGTAATCTCCTCAACGTTGATAGTCTCTTTCCCATATGTAAGAGTAGTCACCATGTGTTCGTAAGAGGAAGGCAACGAACACAACAGAATCATCGCTCTGTCTTCATCCTCAATTTTCACATCAAGCCGAGCCAGATCAGAAACGATTTGATTGAAGACATTCACGTGTTGCGCCAAATCGTGATCGTCCTGCATCTTCAGCCCATACAGCCGCTGCTTCAGATACAGTTTTGTCGTTAAGGATTTGGACATAAACTGACTTTCCAACTTCCTCCAAATTTCGTCTGGAGACGATAGATGCATGACGTGATACATGACCTCGTCCGCCAAGCATAATCGTATGGTTCCTGCCGCTCGCTGCTGCAATTCTTCCCAATCTTCCTCATCCATCGACGCCGGCTTTGTAGGTCGCAAAGCCTTCAAGATCCCTTGCTGCGCCAATAGATCCTTCACCCTCGTTTGCCATAATCCGAAGTTACCCTGACCATCGAATTTCGCGACTTCGAATTTTGCTCCTGACATCTGATACCAATTGTTGACGAAAACGGGTAAAGAAAACGAAAGAACACGAGAATTTTACGAGGTTCGGCAATGTGCTTACGTCCTCGGTGCCTAGGCGGCGCTAGAATTTTATTCAATAATATTTTAGGTCTAGGTTACATCTCTATTTATAATAGAAAACCCTGGTACATAATTACAAAATCAACCATGTACCGTACCACGGGGGCTACGCCCCCGCACCCCCAACCCACATAATTTGTAACCCCACAACGAGACTTTCTTTGTAAGGACAGTTGATGTTCGCTTCGCTCACTCCGCTCCATCTCCTGTCCTCTTTACTGGTATATTTATGAGTCATACCTAACAGTATGCGATCGGAGGAAGCGCGAACCCGACGATCAATAGCCAAGGGAATGTGTTCACGGCATCAGATAACAATTATGCAAAGGAGACAAGTTTCTCTACTAACTCCATCCATTACAATGCAGAGCATCCTACCATATATAACATTACTCCATTTTTTTTACTCGAAATCAGGTGAAGAAACGTGAAAGTTCATTCGACGAGTGGAGGAGTTGGAATTGGAGATCGGAAGGAGATATGATGGTGAATGGTGCTTTTTTTACACCATCTGGAGAAGAAGGTCCAGAAAGCTACATGAGAGCATCAAGCATGGTGGCTAGACCAACTTCACTTGTAACGAAGACAGTTCAGTATGCTGGCACTCTAAGCTGCCGCAAAGGCTACGGCTGCTGATTACTTGCCAACCAAGTTTCTGTTTTTAAATGAATTTTCATCATCATGCTCGTAACAGTTTTCACGTGTTAAAATGTTCGTTCGTAACATCCGCAATCGTGATATACACTGCAACTGTAATTTAGTATTATGGATATACATAATGCTACTGTGTCAGGTTTTGCCAAAATACCCGTTTTGTTATAAACTAAGAAAATTCTAAATATATATTATCTTAGTCTGAATAGATATTATCTTATAATTTTTTTAATAAATTAAACTGCATTACGTAAAAGAAAAACAACTTAAGTTAGTTTTTTTATTACAACATTTGTACATAGAATTTGAAATTCAGAATTAAAGCTGCGTTGTAAATAAAAAAAATGAAATCCAAAAATGTAAAAAATCTAAATAGCCAAGGCTGCCGCAATAACCAAACCAAAACTTAGAACGGATCCGATTTGGTAACCGGATCTTAAACCTGATTCGTCATTAACAGAAGGACCGGCCGCACTGTCGGGGGACAAACTGACCGGAGTAGGACTTGGAGGGCTACTGCTCGACGGGAGAATCCCTGGACTCTCGGCAGGTGTTGTTGAACTTGAAGGAATATCAGCAGAAACAGGGGGATGGAGGAGGAGAGCTTGCTGAAGTCGATGAACGGTGGAGGGGATGAAGTGGTTGGAGATTTCGCCGGAGAAGTGATGCTTTGGAGACGGAGAAGGTGCATTGCCGGCTCCCACCGCATTTCTAGAAATCAGAACAGTGAGGAGAGAAATGGGGAGAAGAATGAATCTAGGCATTTCGATTTGCATATTTTTTAATGGTATTTTCTTCTTTTTTTACTGTCTCGAGATAAATTTATAAAACCGTCTGGTCTTCAAAATCCGACCGTTGAGAATTGCAAAACTTTTCGAAATTTCAAAATCTATTCTTAATTAAATTTAAAAGGAATAAACATTTTTTTTAAGAAAAATATATATTAAAAACCATTCAACCCGATAGAACTATCGATTTTGTTAGATTTACTAATCGTGCAAACAACTCAGATAGCCTGAAGAAACGATTCATTAAAATAATGAGTCATCATTAATTCGACATATAAAAATAATGGTACTTAAGGTCCTCATAATTTTAATCAATCTGACCCTCCACTTTTTTTACACTAGTAAAAAAAAATCAATGTGATATTTTAACTAACGTTTTCTATCGTTAATTAATGATTCTATTATTTTGTGCCGACTTAGTAGGTCAAGTAGTTCATCCCTCCGTGTAATGATGTTATAAATTGAATAAATTATATCATTCATCATTTAATTATCTTCTTTATTTTATTTTGGTCACTAAACTTGAAAAATTTTAAATTTAATCACTCACTTTTGAATTGATCCTATTTTAATCGTCATATCTTATTTTATTATTATTATTGTTATTATTATTATTATTATTATGTATAATATGACATTTATTATTATTATTTTATTAATATATGGTTAAAATAATATTTATTAAATTAAAATTTTGGTTAAAATAATATTAATTAAATTAAATTTTTAAAAATATATGTAAATCCTATCTGCATTTTGGAAAATCAACCCCATCAAGAAAAAACTATCACAGTCCAGTCCAGCTTCAAATGGCACTCCGATGCCCGAAATCCAAGCACTCCCGGTCAAAAAGTTCCCCACTGTAAATTTACCGGTTTCGACTGCACTTATTACACGATATCCACCCCATTTTACCCTACCACCGGTACTTGATTTGGCATCGGTGTTCATATGCTCGGCATAGTAAAGATTGCTTAAAGCGAAGCCTCCACTCCACGGCAACTACCCTTCTCTATCAATCAGTCCATCCAATGTACTCTTCATGAACATGGTTCTTGAATATTTCTGTCATGGCCTCCCCAGATAACTCTTGAACGTACCCTATGGTGAAATTATTTAGCTATATTAATTTACATATCCCCAGATAACTTGTACAAGCCAATATCTACCATCTCTGCAAAAAAAAAAAAAAAATGGGGCTTTCGGGTTTCCATGGAAATGGTGAAAGACATGGCTTTGACAGGTTGAAGAAAAGCAACAGGGGATAATTAAAAATTGAAAGAATTGCGATGAACTAAAGAATCCAGATTCAGGAACCCAAATTGAACTTGTAAAAAAATTGAGAAAAACTAAGGATGAGCTACTTCACGAGGTAATGAAAGAGAAAAATTCTTTGATTGAGAAGGAAGAAAAATGAAATGAGAGGATAAAGGAATATGGCAAAAATTTGGAAATATATAAAGCAGAGACAATAATTTTTTAATTTAATTACAAATTTAATTACCTAAATATAAGAGAAAAAATAATTGAGTGATAAATAATATAATTTTCTCATTTATAACAACATTAAATAGATGGTCAAAAAATCACATTGAATTATTTTTTTAAATTAAAAGATTACATTGAAAGAAAATAAGATATTAGCCTGTTTAACGTTCCATGTCAACACAAAATGACATGACGGAAAACATTGATCGAACGAGACATTGAATTTTTTTCCAGACTTGAAGAGTTGCATTGGATGCCAAAATATAGCCACATTGATTTTTTTTAAACTCCGAGTTAGGTACCCTTTTCCCAAAAAAATTATCAATATTTAGGAGATTCTTTATCAACCATTTGTATATTTTCTAATGATATTAAAAACCAAAATATAAAAGAAACTCTAAACGGTACATTCCAGTACTAAATCACAGGATGATACGCACACCAATATAGTTCTCAACACTAAAAAGAAAGCATGGATTAAACAAAAAACTCGCGCAGTTCTGTCTGTAAATCAAAATACTTGGTTTTCTGATAGTAAAGTACCTGCAGATTATGTTAATTGATTGTACAAATCCTTCAACACAGATAGGTGACTCCAGTTCCCCTCTAGTATTCGATACATGCTAATTTGCTCATCGAAAAAAGCAACAATAGATTACAAGCAAACCTGCTAAGTAATAGCTAAAAAGTATATATTGGCACAAGACATCAATACCTACATGTTTTCATTTTCCAGTGTAGTTATTATTCCATCTTGTAGAGGTCAGGCTTGGACCTCTTGCCCTGTGGACTGGGTTTCATCTTTCTCCGCATCGCCCTCTTCATCTTCATCATCGGCTAGTTTCGTAAGCTCTTCCTGGATCATGAGCTTGATCGATGACTTCCTCGGTGTGAGGTCAGTATTGAAATGTTGTGCTGAAAGGAAAGTCAATTCTCCATTAGGACATTGCTTATCAGAATAGTCTACACATCCTAGAAACTAGGCCACCACCCCCATAAAACAAGCATTTCATGCTTCACATCATGGTGCCCTCAAAATTTAACGAAATTTAGAAGCCAAACCATTACTATGACTTCCTTGCAAGACAGATTGAAATTAGCCATTGAAAAGGATGGCTTTCATTGTTGGTTTTCATAGTTTGCCTTTGAGTGGCCCCATCAAAACTTACAATGAAGTTTGGAAGGCAAACCATTACCAAAACTTCTTTCATGTTATTTCATAATTCAACACTGAGCCACAGAATTGTTATAACATAGTTAGGAGAACCAAGTACAAAGTGAAAGATGCATACCAAGACGCTTCAGAATGTCAGTGAATGTAGCCTGCAGATGAAGTAATACAACTTTATGTCAGCCAGAACAATGGAAACAATATCGATGATGAAATGAAAATATGGGAGAGAATTTTTAAATTTCTTTCAGTAAAAAGAAATGGAAACAAAATTAATCAAGTACAAAAATCAAGGGCGGTGTCAGTGTGTTTCAAAAAGCAAGTACAAAAAGCAAGTACAGCAGGAATGGGATCAGTTGTCTCAGTTCAGAACGAATCTCTGGAGGTTGTATAGGGTGGAAGAAAGTATTTGGTTTCAGAAGTCTAGGACAAAATGGATAAAGGATGGGGATAGAAATACAAGATTCTTTCATCTGTCTGCGTTAAACAGGAGCAAGAGGAACGAAATTACAAGTCTGATGATCAATGGTTCTGTTGTTTCAGATCCGGATTTGATAAAGGCACATATTACGAACTACTTTAAGAATGCTTACAGCTACAAGTCTATAATGGAAGTGGAAGCTTTATCTCTGGATTTCGCCCAGCTGACAGAAAGTCAATCTACAAATCTTGAGGAGCAGTTCAATGAACAGGAAATCTGGCAAGCGATAGCCTATTCGGACAGCTCTAAAGCTCCAGGTCCGGATGGCTTCACAATGGGCTTCTTCAAGAAATGCTGGCCGACTCTAAAGGAGCATGTTTTGAGGTTTTTTCAAGATTTTTATTTGGGCAGGGATTGGGAACATGGGGTTAATCATGCGTTTATTACGCTCATTCCAAAGAAACTTATTTCGGATAGTGTGGGGGACTTTAGGCCAATTAGTCTTGTGGGTAGTCTTTACAAGATTCTCTCTAAAGTGCTATCTAAGAGACTTAGCTGCTGTGTTGGTGACGTTATTAGTCAGTCTCAGTTCGCCTTTATACCGGGGAGACAGCTGCTGGATTGTGCCTTCATTGCGAATGAGGGAATTGATTATTGAAGAAAACAAGGGTTGAGAGGAGTAGTGCTAAAAGTTGATTTCCGTAGAGCCTATGATTCTGTGGAATGGCCTATTTTATTTAGAGCAATGACAGAGATGGGTTTTGGTAACAGATGGTCTGCTTGGATTTCACAATGTCTTTCAATAGCTTCGATTTCAATTCTTGTGAATGGGTCTCCTTCGGATGAGTTCCCAATGGAAAAAGGTTTACGACAAGGTTGTAGTCTCTCTCCATTATTGTTTAACATTGTGGGTGAGTTGCTTCATTTGATGCTTTCTAAAGCAGTGGACAAGGGACTATTCTAGGGGTTTACAATAGGCAAAAATGATAATACTACTAAGCTGTCTCATCTTCAGTTTGCTGACGACTTAATCATTTTTTGCCAAGCTTCAATTTCTCAGCTCAAGAACGTTAAACGAGTGTTGAGGATTTTTAGTATAATGGCAGGTCTGCATTTAAATTTGGTAAAGAGTAAGCTGTTTGGGATTAACATGGAGGACGATGAATTAAAAGATTGGGCATCACAAGTGGGTTGCTCAGTAGGTTCCTTTCCAACAGAATATTTGGGCCTTCCTTTGGGTGCCAAGAAGAATTCAGAGGCTCTTTGGGATCCAGTTTTTAGGAACTTTAGTGCTAAACTTGCTGGGTGGAAAGCCTCATGTTTGTCATTAGCCGGTAGGACTGTTTTACTGAAATCGGTGTTATCTTCCTTACCAATTTTTTTCCTTTCTTTGTTTAGAATGCCATGTATTATAAGATTCATAGCTTTGTAATATCTAGTGAGAGAAGTTCCCGCTTCTCTCTAGGGCCCAGGTGTTTTTAAATTTAAAAGTGTTGTCTCATTCGTCTGTTGCCTGCTGGCCGCTGCCGCCGCCCGCCGTCTGCCGCCGCCGTCAGCCGTCCGCCGCCACACTCTGACCACCGTTTGACGCCGCTTTTTCCTAGGATGGTCGTCTGCTCACGGTGAATACAGATCTGGACTTGCATTTGCGAAAAACGCTGTCTTTAGTCGCAGATCTACACTCGCCCTCTGCAGATTTTCGAAGCCTCCAGCCGTCCGAGTTCGCCTCCGCCACTCAACCCAGCGCAGTGCCTAAACGTGACCTAATCCCGTCTTCTCTTGTGTCGAGCAGTGGTGTACAGCTGAGTATTCACCATGGAACCCCAACCCACGTCTCAACCCAGCCAACTTCGAGGGTTTGACTCAGCTGGTGCGGTGGCTGCTTCCTCCGTGAGGCCTCCTATAGTTCCTCCTTCTTCGTCTAGGAGTTCTCATCTCCCGCTTGAATCAGACTGCCGTGTTGCAGCTGGTGATTTCCCCATGGAGTCTGCCAAGGAATTAGAAGCGAAAGTGAAGGCTCTTAAAGCATTAGTGGCAGAGTTGAATAAGCGGGTTAATGATTTAAAAATGAAGGAAAATGCAGTTCCACGAGGCAGTCTTCTCAAGAAATCTGGATCCGCTGGTGCAGCCTCTTCATCTTACTCCGGTAAGGACAATCGTAAAATTGAGAATGAAAAGGAGAGGACAAGGTTACGGAAACCGCAAAGAAGAGTTTTTACCAGACGCTTGTTGGCCGGATTGAGACAGTTTGGTAACTTCTCTATTCCACCGAATGCTGCTAAGAACGATGTTTTGGCAGCCTTGGCACGTGAGGCGGGTTGGATAGTTGAGTCCGACGGCACCACTTACAGACACTCTCCTTCAACCCAAAATCAACAAAATTCGGGATCAGTTTCGGCGAGGTCGGGTGAAAGTCCACTATCATCCAGTCCTTTGAAGAAATGCTCACAAGAAGGGAAACATAGGAACGGAAAGCTGTCTTTTGTTCACGCAACACCAACGCTTCCGGTCGCTAATGTTGATCATGGTGGTGCCAAGGAGATCTATTCGAAAGGGTATTCCGATGCAAAATTTTCCGAAGTGGTGGGAAGAAGAAGAAATGGGTTTTATAATCGGTCGAAAGAAGGCCAACCAGATTTTCGCAATGGGTCCAAAAAGGATTGTTACACGATTTTTATCGAAAACCTTCCAGAGAAGATCCATTGGAAGAAACTTGGATCCATATTTGGCTCACATGGTCAAGTTATTGATGCCTTCATTCCCAAAAAAAGAAACTCGAATGGGGTTCGTTTTGGGTTTATTCGCTTTGCTACAATTGAAGAAGCAAGGACATCGATTTCTAAGATGAATGGTTATCGTATTTACGACAACAAAATTAGAGTCTCTTTGGCTAAACATAAACCCCGACAGTCTTACTGGCGAAAGTCCTCGAAAGTTGTTCATAGTAAGTCGGGGCTGGAAGTTTTTCCGACGATTAAACACTGTGAAGTTGAGGGTGTTGTGGACGCAGATAAACTTCATGTGTTGTCTAACTGTCTTGTGGGGTGGTGCAAGAACTTTATCAAGATTGGTAATCTTGCTAACCAAATACAAGCCAAAGGACTAGCGGGTTTCACGCTTATGAGAGCTGCTGGAAATGTAGTTCTAATGGTTTTTGAAGATTCTAATTCGTTGAGATGCGTGAAGGATGAAAAGTTAGAAACTCTTGCAGAATGGTTTTCCAGAGTGGAAACTTGGTCTGAGAGCCTTGTGGTGGAGAGCCGGCGCGTTTGGCTAGTTTGCGAAGGTATTCCCTTTCACGCTTGGAATTGGGATACTTTCAAAAACATAGCTACTAAGTGGGGCAAGTTAATAGCAATCGATAACAGTTGTGAGTTCCCTTCGTCTTTTGATCGGGCTAAAATCCAAATACTCACAAACGCTCAAGTGAGAATTAATGAGTTGTTGGAGTTGAAGGTCGGGGATCATTTATTCAAAATCTTGGTGCATGAAGTTGATCCTTCCTTCAAACCTAATTCTTGGGTTCCTGAAGATTGCGATATTTCTTTAGAACTTGATCCTCCAATTGGGTTGTGATTGTTCGGCTGCTGTATTCAGAGGCGTTTTTAAGTTTGTGGTTGTAATTGTTGGTTTTTTTGTTATGTTATCTTACATCTTGAGGTGATTTAGGGGCTTTTTGGTTGACGATGTAAGATTTCTAGGTGATATGGGTTGTATTGGTGTTTATTCCCGCATGTGGGTTTGGTGTTACCTCATGTACTTAGTATTATATTTAATAAAATATGAGGCACTCTTTTCTCCCTTCCTTGTTCTTCAACATACTTCTAAGTATGTGGAAGAATACGAAGAGAGTTTTTAATGAGACCTCCAACTTCTATCAAAAAAATAGAATGCCATGTATTATTGGTAAGAAGTTAAACTCGTTAATGGCCAATTTCCTATGGGGTGATAAGGAGGGAAAGAGGAGAATCCACTGGGTGAATTGGAGCTTAGTATGCAGACCAATAAATTGTGGTGGATTAGGTGTTCTTGATTTGAACCTCACTAATCGGGCTCTTCTAGGTAAGTGGGTGTGGAAATTTGCCAATGACAAAAATTCCATTTGGAAAGGCGTGTTGTGTAGCAGACATAAGGTCAGTAGCAATTCTTTGTCTATTAGGGAGGTCTCTCATCCTCATTCATCTTGGATTTTGAGAGTAGCTAATAATTATCTGAAGGATGATTCGGTGGGAGATTGTCTAAGGTCAAATTCGAAATTGAAAGTAGGAAATGGCAAGTCTATTTCTTTTTGGAATGACGTTTGGGCGGATGACTGTCCTCTGAAATTCCTTTTTCCAAGAATTTTTGTGCTCTCTCCTAATAAAGAGGGGAAAGTTGAGGAGTTTGGCAGCTTCGAATCGAGTGGTTGGGTGTGGACTGTCCAGACCAGGAGAAATTTGTGTGATTGGGAATTGGTCCAATGGTTGGAGTTGATGTCTAAGTTGAAGGATATTCAACTTTCAGAACTTGTGGATGATTTTTTATCGTGGACTGCTAGTGGAGATGGATTGTTCTCAGTTAAATCTTGTAGGAATACTCTTGGTATTATGTCTGGGGGTACTGCAGTGTGGACGAAAGGGGTTTGGCAGGGCTTTGCACCACCTCGGGTGGAAGCTTTCCTTTGGCAACTTGCTCATCAGAAAGTAGCTGTCAAAGTCGAGTTGGTCAAGAGAGGACTACCCCTAGGGGATGATATTCTGTGTCCCTATTGTAAGAATCAGGAGGAATCTATGCAGCATCTATTCATCTCTTGTATGGTGGTTTGGGAATTATGGAATAAGGTAGCTAATTTCTGGGGATATTGCCATGGTTCTACCACAGGATCCTCCTTCTCTTCTTTGTTCCTAGGGTGAGTTGAGGGCGAAATCTACGATTTGGAAGTTTATTCCGGGAGCCATCTTTTGGTCTGTATGGAAATTTAGGAATGCAAGGGTTTTCGAAGGAACTCCTATTGACAAAGTGTCACCATTCTTCATTGTTAGATTCAGGATTGCTAAATGGTTCCTAGCCAAATTTCCGGGTATTACTATACAAGAGGATGTGCTGATTGGTAATCCATCTCTAGCAGATGGTGTTTCTTCTAGTAATGTTATTGATCGTGTTGTTTTGCGCTGGTTACCCCCACCAGTAGACTTCCTAAAGATGAATGTAGATGGAGCCGTTAGGCAGATTGATTCGGGTGGAGGTATTGGAGGTTTATTAAGAGATTGGAATGGTTGCACTCTTTTGACTTTCTCAGAGAGTATTGCTCAAGCAATCCCCCCTCTGGCTGAATTAAAAGCTATAAAAAGAGGCTTGGATATTTTTCTGTCTTCTAGGTGGGCTTCAGTAGCTAGGTTGATCGTCGAAAGTGATTGCTCGTCTGCAGTGGAATGGATTCATTCTCTGGTTCTGGCACCTATTTTTTTCTTGCCTATTGTTTTTCAGATTTCAAGGCTTATTAGTGATAAGGTTCATTCAGTTAGGTTGATTCCTAGGGAGTGTAATGGAGAGGCAGATATCTTAGCTAAGGAAGGGATTGGGTGATTGTAAGGGTCTTTTTATGATTTTCTTCATTTTGTGTGTAGGTTTTTATGATGGGAGGAGTGTTTCAGTCTTATGTCAAGCAATTTAGTGTTATTTTTAACTATTATGTAACTTTCAATATTTATAAAAGTTCCAAGGCACTCTTTCCCTCCTTCCTATGATTAATGACCTTTCTATAAGGTCCTTAGTTAAGAAGGGGTGTTTTAATGAGGCCTTTCTTTCCTATCAAAAAAAAAAATTCCCAAAACTATGATGGAAATGAGGACAACTCATTTCCACACAAATAAGATCTTCAGTGAGATGATTCATAATAAAACATCAGCATCGCACTCAATGAAACAGCTAAGAATGGTTTTGAGGTGACAAAATGAGACCATATAGTCTTAGCAGTCAATAACCTTCGGAGGTTATTCTAACTTTCTAGTTCCACCCAATGAAGGTTACAGATAGTACAATTATTATCCATGGATAGCCCATTTAGCACAGAACTTAAAAGTCCTGATAAACTGACTCCCTAATTCAGAAACCAAAATAGTCTTAGTAGTCAGGACTAGCCCAAAAAAGGTCTAGTAAAGGATGCAGCTATTCTAGAAGTAGTATATTAATAGCAGATCTTACCGTATTGAAGTCTACCTCCTTTAGAATTTTACAAATTGTATCCCTCAGTTCATCATCACTTGGCTTCAGTTTCTGCTCTTTAGCTTTGTCCTTCGATATTCCAGCTCTTTTGCCTTAAAAGATACAAAAAAAAAAGATGTCACCATAAATGGTCAGAAGCTAAAGCTGATCTTACAAATTCAGCCATGGGAGACAATTATTCAATTTCCTTTATGAAAGGCATCGGCAAAACAGAAAGTAGGCTGCTATCTTACTGGTTTTCTCCTTGGAGGCAGATTTCGCTGGTGTAGAGGGCTTCTCCTTGGTGATTTTTTGAGGTTTCTTCCTTGAGGACACCTTAGGACTTTCATCATTATCATCATCAGCCTTCGACTTTTTTGCCGGCGATGTTTTTAGGGTTCTTTTCTGCGGGGTTGACCTTTTGGGAGTTGTGACTTTCTTGGTTTTAGCTTTTCCAGCTGATTCCTGCTTTCTGGATAATACCTTTGAACTCTTTTTCTTCATCTTTGCATCTTCTTCAGAATCGTCTTCAGTTTCATTTTTCTCCTCACTTTCAGAATCCTCGGGCATCTCGTCCTCAGATTTTTCGGCAAAACCATTTTCATTTCTCTCTTCTACATTCTGTTCCTCTTCCTTTTCTTCTTCCTCCTCCTCTTCTTCAGACTCATCCTCTGAACCAGGAGTTTTCTTTTTCCCTGATTTTGGAGTATCGTCGCTCTGTTTCCGACTCTGTATAATACATACAATAAGGGTTAAAACCTAATAAAATAACTAGAAAAATAAATTTAAAATAGAAGTAAAACCATATGCTGACCCCTTAGTCCTTGGCCAAAAACATAATAGGAAGCATTCATATAGCACAAGTTATTTACAGATAGGAGATCTAACTGAATGGTATACCAGAATTTCCTTGAACACAGTAACCAGAGGTGATTATCCTAACAAAAAGTTCCAATGGTTAAACAACATCAGGTTTCTGATGTCAACAAGGAAGGATTAATACCTTTGTTGATTGTTTAGATGTAGTTCCAGACTTTGTAGCCCTTTTGCGCTTTGTACCCTTACTTGACTGGGAAAAAAATATACACTATAGGTTAGAAAATCAGCATGTAAAAATGGAACTTTAGCAAAAGCACTAGGTAAAAATGTCACCTTTTCTTTTTCTGCAAGTAGAACAGTAGTGGTAGAATGAGGGGCCACCAAAAAGTCTATCAGCTTTGTAATAATATCTTCCTGCATGTCCATTTTAGACTTTATTAACAGCAGTTATAAAAATTCAATTTCTTCGGTAACAAAACTAGCACTTTGTTAAGGATTGTGAAAGTCCAATTATTAATAAGTTCTCACATAAATTACACTTGACTTCTCCAGTGGTACTACTTCTCATATTACTAATAACCCGAGGTCTTGAGAACTACTCAAAAATTTCACCCCTACCTTTTATTGAACCACAATCCTAGTATCAAGATCTTATTAATATAACTGTTGCATCTAAAGTAAACATAAGCAAAGTGACCAAATATTTCTAGGCACTTTCAAAACTATTAAAACTAATCACATACACGAGGGTTTCTCAGCTGAAGGCAACAAAACCTTAGCTTTCTAAAAGAAGAAAAAAAAGAAAGGAAAAGATTAGCATAGTTATGAAACTTTATGTAGATAAATGGTTTGCCTACCCAACATTTTACTGCACACTAGGTGAGAAAAGAACCCACCAGACAAGTGTTAATAGGGTTCCTATTGATCAATTTGCATGATATTGAATAACCTAGTAAAACAGTGCTCTGAACTAATCGAACAGACTAGCTGGCAGAACTAAAGCAAGAAATAGAGTAGCACAACAAACCTTCCTTGTAGTAGCCTTCATAACCGGTATGTCAAGCACATCACAGAACTCCAATAACTTCTCTTTATTAAACTTGTCTAACTTCTCTTTTACTTTACTTTTTTGCTTTTCCTGTAATTAGCACAACATTTGAATGGAATAAGCTCAAGAAAACCTACTATAGTGCACTAATATCAGCCACATAAGCAACTTAAACAAGTAGATAAGCTACAGGCCTCCTAAAAGGTTTAAAGCCCAGAAGTCCAACTCCTACAGAAAAATCAATCATCCGTAACAAAAATATAGCTTTTTTTTTATAGGAGTAACAAAAATATAGCTTCATAGTTTCATAATCCTCTTACCTCATTATCATGCCACACGAAACCAGAAAATCTGGAAATATTACTCTTAATCTGAACAGCCTGCAAAGCGCAAGGAATGTGAGTAAACTGAAAGCAAAATCAGGGAAGTACTACTGCAGCAACCCAGAACCATCCAAGTATTGTTTATTGCAATGACTCCTGCCGTACTCATGCACACATGCATCAGTATAGACTCTGTTTATGTGTTTTTGCAAGCCGATAAACCCTTATCATTAAAGCAAGAGGATGAAACAACACATCGGAAATGCTAGATAGTATCATAAAAATAATTGACAGCAATCAGATTACCTTCCCTCTCCTTCCAAAGAGAACAGTATGAAGCAGCCTGAAAGTGTCATCAGTCTTCCGTCTAGACAACTTGAATGCCACTGCAGAAGATGACATAACAGATGTTATTTCACTCAACTTATGGTTCTAAACTAATATCAAATACCATAACTTATCTGATTTTAAAGGAAAGGAAATATCAATACACATTAAAGGAACTTGGTAGAAATATGTATGGCCAAATAATGAACAAAATTAAACTAAAGAAGCAGCATCCTCAGTGTTTTCTTGACAATGCAAACAGTATGAAATCATCGATGAACAACATTAGGAGAAATGAGCCGATTAAGGTTTACAAATATGGCATCATACAAAGCCATTTTAGGATATTTTCTATAACAAACCCACTAATTTGAGTGATATAAGAACTAGAGAACACACCATTAGGAATATCTTTAAGTGGAGTACCCTTTCCCTGCAATTTCCAAGCAACCGATTAATCTCTGATGCACCGTCAAAATTTTAAACATCTAAATTGTTTAATAAAAAGGATAGCCAGGAAAAAAGGGGCGGGGGAACCTTTTCAATTTGGAATTCCCTAGAAGAACCTTTTTCAATAGATGCAACCAGTCTTTCAACAGATTTCCGCTCACGCACAGGTCGATCAGTGAGAGGAGTTCTTTGCTCTGGCTCCTTCTTCTCCTCCGACTTTTTCGTCTTCCCTCCAATTTTCTCCCCAGATTTTTTAACTTTCCCTCGATTCTTTGAACCTTTTTCCTCTTCACTTTCTTCAGAGTTCTCTTCTTGTTCCTCTTCATCTTCTCCTTTCAATTCATCTTCAGCCTTCTCTTCTTGTTCCTCTCCATCTTCTCCTTCCAATTCATCTTCAGCCTTCTCTTTTTCATCTTTGTTCAACTCATCCGCCTCATCTTTGTTTTCCTCCTCAACTTTCTTGACATCAACTTTTGCATCAGTTTCTTCATCCATAGCATCAACTTTAGGTTCCTCCTTTGCTTCACTTTCCACTTCTTTGCTTTCCTTGTCTTCCTTGATCTTTTGGTCTTCATCCATCTTCTCTGTCTCAACTTTATCCTCATTTTTCTTATCTTCTTCCATTTCCTTTACCCCATTATCTTCTTCCTCTCTTTTCTCAGACACAACTTCAACGGTTTTCTCAGGAAGAGAAGTCCCATTAGCCACTGGGTCAGGGACTTCGGTCTTCGTTTCTTCTTCACCCATAATCAAACCAATTCAAAGTAAATGCTTTAATATGGTCTCTCTAGTCTTCCAAAGCTGTATGATGGAATAAAAAAATAGCTTCAAATAAAAAAGGTAAAGTAATAATAATGACAAAATAAAACAATTAATTACACCATTAAACAGACACTACACCACTCAGCAACAAACACCATACCCCCTCTAAATAATAATTAATACATAAAGAAACAATTGGCTGGCCATACTAATTTTGCACTGCAGTCTTTTCGCATAACAAAATAAATCTCTTTTCACACACAATAAAGTTCTCCTAAGCTTCCCATGGAATGAGTAAAAAGATGTAACCAACAAGAAGAACTGCACTCTCCAATCTCCATTTGGAGGGAGCTACAAGGAACATTTAATTTTAGAGAAGAAAAGAAATCCTTTACTGAAATGAGCTACAGTGAAGCAAACAGGAGAGAAAGCCTCACACCACAAAAGAAAAACAAAGTATTAACGGACTTGAATTGCAAAATTAGAGATCCGAAAGACTGAAACATGTTGAAAATGAAGAAAACCTCAAAGTTGACCCCTGAGAACTAAAGATTCAAAACAAATAACAAGGATCCCTTTTTGGTTCCTTGGGGAGGACAAAAAGAAAAAAAATTAAATCTCGCAATCTTTTTCCCCTTTTGTTTCTCTACCTGTACAAATCATAAATCACAGTTTACCAAACCTAAAACCAAGTCTGTTAAGCTTAACATAATAAGATTTTCGATTTGGACAGGAAACAACACTAAATCTAAAAATTGAAAATCTCATCAAATTTAAAAAATTTAAAGCAGCCAAACTAAAAAGAATTTAGGACTAATTACCGGATATCAACTGAAAATGGAAAAAGAGAGAGAGAAAACTTACAGTGATTCAGGAACTAATAATAATCACTCAGAAGCTGGAGAGCGAGCAGAGTGTTTAAAGTGAGGAATTTTTTAACTTCATTTGGTTTTTTTATTTATTTGGAGATACAAAATTATTAAATTGGCTTCAATTTTTTTCAAAGTCCGGACTTGAAACCCGGATTTCAAATGCAGTTAAGTTACACATAGGACACGATCTTGTCAGAAATTGGGCGACGTTCGAGAGAGATGTAATGAACGTCTCTGATCTTTGTCCTTCTACGTCATGTAAATCCAAGGGCTGAGATTTTCACTTTGAGGTATCTTCGAAGTTGTGGGCCCGAATTTAGGGCTTTGCTGGTGGGGCCTATTTCGTGTAGGCAATTGGCGGGCTGATACCAGGATAATTTTTTATCGAAAATAATCTTACTGTATTATAAAGCTAAAATTATGAGTTTAAGGGTAATATATTTTTAAAATAATACATAAAGTATATTATTAATTAAATTATTTTTATTAAGTAAATATTAAAAAAAGTAAATTATATGTTTAGTATTTATGTTAATATTCTTATTTCGTTTTATTACATAAATTTTATTTTTCTTAAAATCATTAAAGACAATATTAATGTTGTATGATATGACATGTCAATTTTTTATTTTTTAATTTCTAGATTACCTTTCTATTTTTTAGTATTTTTAAATTAATTTTATTCAATCAATTAAATTATGATATGTATCACTGACTATGAGGATAAAATAAAAAAAATTATTCTTGCTCTTAGCATTAATTTAACTTAAGCCTCTTACATAAAATGCATGGCTCTCAAACATAAAGTTAACCTAGTCATTTATAATAATTTTACCACATTTTTGTATTTAACTTGTATAATAGTGTCATCACAAAATAAATATTTTCTGATGATTATGAAATTCGAATATATGACACTTTAAATTAATGATCAAAAGCTTAGTCATTCAACTATAATATGAATCTATTTTTATTATATCAAACTTAATATTTACTTATATCATTATTAAATTAAAGAATAATTTTTATTTATTTAGGAAAAAATTAATTAAATAATTATTTATATATATTTATAAAATTTCATATTAAATTATTCTAAAAATATATTTATAATATTATAAAAATATTTTTAAAATATTTATTTAATTTTTGAAATCATATTATTTATTTATTTGAAATAATATTCATTATTTATTTGAAATAATTTTATTTTAATTATCTATTTAATTTTAGATAATATTATACAAAATCAAAGTAATAGTTGGATACTAAAATTTACCCTAAATTTTAAATTATTTGAAATTAAATAGAAAATTTAAAAATAATATTATTTCAAATAAAAAAAATAATTTGATTTTTAAAAAAAAGTAAATACTTTTATAATATTATAAATATACTTTTTTATAATGATTTCACGTAATTTTTATAAAAATATATAAATTATATTTTTTATTTCTAAATAAAGTGAAAATTTATTCTTTTAATTTAGTAATGATATAAGTAAGTATTAAGTTCGATATAATAAAAAAATACACTATAGTTGAGTGATTAAGCTTTCGATCATTAATTTAAAGTGTCTCATATTTGAATCTTACATTCATCGAAAATTTTTGATTTTGTGGTGGTACTATTATATAAGTTAAATATAGAATGTGATGAAATTTACCCAATTGACTAGCTTAGTTCAATGGTTGAGTGGTTTTTTTCTTATATAAGTTCAATTCATACTAGGAGGAAAAATGATTTCTATTTTTTAATAAAAATAATTAAAAAAATACTTACAAATAAAGAAAAATGTGATGTGATAATTAAAAAATAAAAAATTTGACATGTAATGCCACATAAGCATTGACATTAGTGATATAAAAAAATAAAGTTTAGATACTACAACGGAATAAAAGTGATAATCTAGGTACAAATCATGTAATTTATCCTTCTAATATTTATTTAATAAAGATAATTTAACAAATAGTGTGTTTCGATTTGTCACTTTAGTAAATTGTTGTAGTGTTCGTGTGTCGTAGAATTTTTCATTAATTTAAGTTCTTTGGCTTGTTTGTTTATTAATTAATATATGTTTTATTTTCTTAGTTAAATTAAAATATTAATTATTAATTATTAAATATTTAATATATATATATATATATATATATATATAAATATCATATTATATTATATTTTTTTAATATTATAATAGTATACTTAATTATTTAAAAAAATCTAGGGTGGGGAGACGAGGTCGAGGACTTAAATTTTGTTTAGAAAAATATTGATTTATAGTTTTCAAGAAATTATAGATGTTTAGGTTTTTTTTAGAGATTAGAGGTTTCATAATATTATTTTTACAAGCTTTCATCAACATCTAACTCTTAATATAAATTAGATTGAAATATTTGATTGAATTAATACAAATTTGATTTGAATTTTACCTTTATTTTTATACGATAATTGACTCGTAAATTTATGATAATAAAATTATCTTAAATTACACAAATTATCTTGAATTTAATTTAATGATAACTACATTAAAATTCAAAATTCTATGATTTTTTTGAATAAAACGTATATTATATCTAAAGCAAGGAATACTACAATCACACGAGTATACAATCAAAGATACTCATCAACAAAAGAATAAATTAAATGAACGAATCACCCTTCAATTCCCCAATCTGCACATAACTGAGCATCAAGTCGCCCCTTCCACTTTTCATAGACCCTAGCTTTTATAACCTCCCTAATAGATTGAACAATAACATAACCATATTCATTTACATTCCTAAAGCATCTTCTATTCTTTTTCATCCAAACAAAATAAATGAATGCATTCCAAGCAAGGAAAAAGATGGTGGCAGTAATGGATTTACCTTGAGCATGAAAGCAAGCCCAAGCAACCTCCCCATCCTAACCCAACATCGAACGAGACCCCACTCAAGGTAAGAACACTCTTCCAAATTCTAACCGAAAAAGGACAACCAAAGAAAACATGGGAGCAAGTTTCTGCCACACCAGAGCAGAGGGGGCAATGACCCGGAACAGTCATGCCTATAAGCAAAAGCTTATCACAAGTTGGTAGCATATAAAATAGAGTCATCCAAACAATAATGGCATGTATAAGAATATGTAGCGAAAACCAAACTAGTTTTTTCCACGCTATTTTTTACTTTTCAGTTCTAATTTCATCCCAAATTCTCCTCACTCGAAAAGACTCATCGTTAACCATCCCATCAAAAATAATTGTCGCCTCCTCACGAAATGAAATAGTTTTCCTCAAGGTAATCATCCCTATCAGCTTGAATATCGCAACATCCTATTGTTTTACAACATATGCTTTCGCCCAAGCCACCCACAATGAGTCCTCCATCGCAAATAACTTCCTCAACAATTGGAAAAAACATGCCTTATTCCAACTAGCCAAATCCTTTAAACCCAAAACCCCTTCTGATTTATGTAAACAAGTTTGATATCAGCCAACTTGAGCACCAGATGCCACTGTGTCATCCCCCATCCAAAGAAAACACATACAAGTTGATTTACACGATCAATCACCACCTTCAGCAATAGTAGCAACTGATACCAAAAATTAGTGATACTAAATAACACCAAACAAATTAATTCTAACCTTCCTGCATAACTAAGTCTTCTTTTTGCCCAAGTATCCAGTTTACTCTTAATGCTAGCAACCAAGTCTTGACAGTCCTCGCTGAAAGCTTCCTCATTACAAGAGGAACCCACAAATAACGAACTGAACGCTGCCCCTTTTTGAACTCTGAGCACTCCTCAATTTAGTTCAACTCATCATTGGGAATACCCGAATCATAAATCTCACATTTCAAAAAATTTAGCTTGAGGACACACCACAAATAAAACTGCTCCAAAACACACTAAATCCCCAAGATAGAGTTAAGAAAACCCTTACAAAAATTAAGAGATCATCCATAAAACAAAGATGAGTTAAAGGAATCTTCCTGCACTTCATATGATATCGAAAAATGTCATTCTCCGCAGTCAAATCCAAGAGTCTATACATCACATTCAATACTAAAAAAAAGGTATGGCGATATGGGATCCTTTACCTGACCCTCTAGCGCCCTCAAAAAAGCCAACCAATGTGTCATTAAAAACCACTGAAAAACTGAGGAGAAGTAAAGCAAACTCGGAGTTACTCAACAAACCTATCAGACAACTTTATGGCTTTCAAAACAGCAAGCACAAAGCCCCAATCAACGTTGTCAAAAGCCTTCTGCAAGTCAACCTTAATAGCATAGCTTGGAGAGAGAGACGTCCGAGCATACCCCTTCACCAACTCTTGAGCTAAAATGATATTATCAATAATATTTCGTCCCTTAATAAAAGTCAAACTGGTTAGATGCAATCATAACTAGAAGAAATCATACAACCTATTCACCATAATCCTCGTGATAGTGTGATACACTACATTGCAACAAGATATTAGCCTAAACTCCTTTATTCGACTCGTATTTATAACTTTAGGGACAAAGACAATATCTGTAAAATTAAACACAGACAAGAGCAAGGAAGAGTTAAAGAAATATTGCATTGCTACTATAAAATCAATCCCAACAATCCCCCAAGCCTTCTTGAAATAACAAGGGGAATAACCATCAGGCTCTGACGCCTTATCATCACCCTGTTGAAATATCACAAGATGAATCTCTTCATTAGAGACCTCCTTAGTTAGCAACGAGGCCGCATCCACTATGAAAGAATAATTCACAATATTTTAAGCAACCCCAAATCACAATCCAACATAACCAAGTCCGCTTGCCCAATCATACTTATAAAGAATCTCATTGCCTCCGAAGATATTTCCTCAAAAGACTTAAGTTTACTATAACACCCCAACCCATATCTGACCTGGATCCAAGTCTGAGGTGTCACATTGACTTTTCAAAATGTTTTTCTTAACAAATTGGCTAAAATTTAACTCCATAATTCAAGAAAACGAATATTTTGCATTAACTAAAATCAATTGGTTTTACAACACATATCAAAGCATATTCAACTCCAATTTCTTAGTACATGCCAACTAAATTTAATATAACAAA